AAAAACCAAAGGAACATATACAGTACAGAACCATGGACATAAAGCTAATACCAGCAGCTGAAGGAGCAGAACTGAAATCAGTGCTACTTAAGCTGTCAAGCAGTGCAATTTCCCTGAGATTTTCTCTGTTGAGAACTCCGGCGACGAGCTTCCCCCAGTTATCGTACACTCTTGACATATTTAGTTATTTATTTTAACCTATAACTTATATTCAAGATATGATTGGAATTGGGTTAATGAATTTGGCACAATAAAGGTTGGTGAGAAGAGAAGAAAAGTCTTCCCGCGTCCTCATTTAGGATCATATAGTAAAGTGCACGTGCGATGCACATGGTGTCGAATAATTTTCGCGGAGTAAGGTTGTAAAATAAATTAATTTTAAATTAATTTATTTATTAAAAATATCATTGCATAAATTAAGTAAAATATAGAAAATATGAACTCATATGTGATTTTTTTTTATTTAGAATTAACATAATGATGTCCTCATATAAAAATAGTGAAATAACGTTTTACAAACCCCAACAAAAATATATATAAAAAACAAATTCCTAATAAAAAAAAAACACAAAGATATTCTTTCATTTTAGTTTTAAAGTTCTCATAAGAACATTCATAGTCGTTGGAGTCCAATACAACAATACTATTGCAAAATTCCTCTTAATTAATTTGGCAAAACGCCAATTTTCTTCAAACACTTAAGAAACAATTTGACCCAACATATAGTCAAACTTCATGATTGTATGATCTTTATAACAAGGTACATCTTGTTTATACTCTATTATTAGTTCATGTACCTCTACTAACAAAGGATAAGTATCTCTATAAAATATCTAACGGTGTCACTAAAATTACTGATATTTTTTTCACTGTATAAACTACTACATTCCTCTATCTCTAGATATATTGGTGTCTACACCATTGATGCATCGCCCCACGAGGTGGAAATGAATTTTATCTCCAAATAAAAGTTGACTTTCCAAAATCTTGGTTATATGTACTTCTCCCGAGGTGCTAAATTATTTTTTGAAATCATCATACATTAGCTGAAAGTACGTCTAAAGTAATTGCACATATGTTCAAGCACAATACACCAATGAGATTATAAATATCTATATCTATTCTATATCTATACTACTCTAAAAGGAGGAGTGTTTTTGTAAAAATTCATAATGCCTAAAATACCCTTACTTTGACATAAATTTTATGACAAATTAGTAATACACTAATACACATCATATTTTATTTATATTTTTAATAAAAAATAAACTACCTAAAAAATCCTTACTTTGACATGTTTTTTATGACAAATTGGTAATATACTAATGTCATCAGATCTTATATTATTAATTAATAACTAATATCAATTAATTAAATACAAATACATGAACAACTCATTCCACATAGACATGGCCAGTTGTCGGGTTTGGGCCTGGCCCGCCGCGTCGGCGGGCCTCAATTGTTGGGCCTGTAGCCGGCCCGACAATTCCTTTTGATCGGTTCATTTGAACGGAACCGGCTCGGCAGTTCAACGAACCGTCGGGTTAAAAAAAATAAATAAATAAATAAAAAATAAAAAAACAACTATAACCCGTCGCAAAAACTGAAACCGACCCAGAACCGTCCCGGCCCGGCGGGTAAAAAAAAAAAAAAATTGAGAACCGAGACCGAACCGTATGGGCACGGTCCGGTTCATAGGCCCGCACAATTCCGGACCAACCCGTGGCCATGTCTAATTCCACACTTCTAAAATAAAATTGTTTTCTTCCACATATCTTTAAAACTGTTTGATATAGAAACATTATTTTCAAAGTAACCTATAAAAAATGTGTGATAGTATGCGAAATTAATTGTTGAAAACACTTGTGGAACTAGAAATCAATATTGTTTTTCTCATAACAACCACAAAATATTGAAACGTTATTTTCAAAATAACATATAAAAAATGTGTGATAGTATGCGAGATTAATTGTTGAATGATTGTTCTGCAACATAAACTTCTAATCTATTCAATTTCTTTACTACATAAGATCAGAACAATTTTATGAAATTGTATAATATTAAAACTGTATCAATTTGTTTTCACGTCTAATGAGATACCACTTTAGCAATATGGATTAATTTTGACCATATAATTATCTACAAACTAATTAAAAATATCTCGAGAATCATGATATGCCTACATGTTGAAAATTAATTACTTTTTTATCAAAAAATTATATTCATATATTATCATTAGTCCTTTATTTATTTATACGTGTTATTACAATAAAATGGTTTTTAAAAAAATGTACGAAATAAAAAAATTATATATTTGAGTATAAATGAGAAGATTATAATTATATATAAAATAATATAAAAATGTAAAATTAATTGATATAAATAAACATATGACCTAAAAGTGCTATACTTAATTTTATATATTTTTGAACAAACCGAAAAGTTACCCAGAAATACACACGCACATTAAAAACATATGAAAGAACAATATAAAGTAAAAAATATTAAATCTGATAAATAATATTAAATTTATAATAAAGTTGTAACACTTACTAATAACTATGAAAAAAGTAATAAATAAAAATATTATAATTAGTAAAAGTAGTTATAGAACTTTTAAAATTTGTTTAATTTTTTGCGCTTATTAGTTCTGTATATAAATTTTAGATGATAGACATCAGTTATTTATACTTTTATCCATGAAGGTTAGAAATTTATTTTTCTTAGAAAATTAATTATTTTGATTTTAAATAACGTTTTATTTGCTATTAGTTTTTTAATATAATATATTAATGGCATATTTTATATATATACAATAATACTTTTCGTTATGTAATATGTAAGTGCAAGAAATGTAATTCAATAGATAAATTAATAGGTAATTTTGCGATAAAATAATGAGCAATTTCTACAAAAATTATATGGATTACCAAGTTCACTTGTTTAATATATTTTTAATATAAAAATTATAAATACAATTAATTAATAACAAAAACTCCTAATAAAAATTATAATATATAAAGGAATAAAAAAAATGGTACATTGCAATGAAAAATCCAACGGTAAGACATTAATTTTTTTTTCCAAAGACATCACGGTAAGACATTAACTGTAATTTCTAAATGATATTTTATTTGTATATCTGTCATTGTAAAATTGCATTGACTATATCAACAGAAATCAAATTACATTATTTATTCTTGTGTAATATAATTATTTCAATTATCATTATTTATTATTGCGTGAATTTTTGTTAAAAAAAATTTCGAGTCATATTTCAACAGTTGGAAAAATGTCACTGGAATTTGTAAAAATTTCAATGGAAGTTCTATTCGAAATCTACTTGTAGTGGTGGATACAAAATAATTTCATACTTGAGGCATTATTTGCTTAATAGAAAGTATACCATTATAATAACATAATGTCATTATGATTTATAAATTATATTTTTCATAATTTGTCATCTTTCTCATCTGTAGTACATGTTTAACACATCAATACAGTTACAATTAAAAAAAACATAACTTTTCTCAATTCAACATAAGCAAATCAATGAAAATAATATTTTTAAAAATTTTATGAACAAAAGTTGACTCGACAATATTATTAATGAATTTATGAATTGTAAATATTTAATTAAAATATTAATTAGAAAATTGTAATTAAATATAATATAATATATGATATACAAATATTTGATATATAATGAGACAGATGATTGAAAAAATTCTATACTTTATATTATGTCTTTTTTGACAAATCTACAGTTAAGAACATGTGAAAGAAAAAGATAAAGTTTTTAAAAAATATGAAATATAAGAAATAATATGAATAATAACTAAGTTGTGACACGTACTAATAAATATAAAACAAACTAATAAACAAAAATAATATAATTAATATAACTAAATATAAACCTTCTAAAAATATACTTATCGATGTAATTGAACTGAGTTGTTAAACGCTTGTTAATTTTTTGTTCTTATTAATTTTATGTGTTAATTTGAGGTGATAAAACAAGAATAATTTGTACATTTATCCATGTAGATTAGAACAAAAAAAATCTTTATTATTTTAATTCTAAATATCTTTTTTATTTACTATATTAAATTTTTTTAATATAATATATAAGTATCATATTGAACATATAAAACAAGAACTATTTTTAATTACATAATATTTAATATGTAAGAAATGTAACTCAATTGGTAAATTAATAGGTAACCTTGAGATAAAATAATGAGTGATTTCTGAAAAAAAAATAATTATAGGAACTAAAAGGTTCACATGTTTAATATATTTTTAATAGAAAAATTGTAAACACAATTACTCAATAAATACTACATAAAAAATAATGTTTGAGAGGACTACAAAAAATTGCTATATTGCAATGAAAAACTCAACGGTAAGGTATTCTACTGAAAATTCTCACGAATATATTGCTTTAATTGGAAAATTTCATTGGCTATTCCATTAGTGTTCAAATTAAATTACATGAACTTTAGTGGATTCAAAGATTTCAATTACATGAATTTCTATTGGAATTTCTTTTTGACCATATTTCAATCGTTGAAAAAATTGTCATTGGTATTATACAAAAATTCAATAGAAGTTCCATTGAAAAGATAATTGCGGTGATAGATCCAAAATAATTTCATATTGGGAGCATTATTTAGTTAATAGAAAAAAAAATATACCATCAAAATAACATGTCATTGCAAGTTATAAATTATACTGTACATAATCTATCACCTTTCTCATTTGTAATACATTTTAATAAATCTATGCAATCACAATAAGGTAAAATATATTTAAGAAACCAAAAGTCAAGATTTTTCTTAAATCAACATAAGAAAATCGTTATATTTGTTGTATTTTTTGTTGGAATTTTCTCATTTTCTTGTAGTAAAACTAGGACTCCAAATCTATATAAAAAAAATTCATTATATATAATATTGTGTGCAACTATTATTATGAAAATTTTTGATACGATAGAAAATATAACACATTCAATGTAATTGGCGTTCAATTTATGATAAGAAGTAATTTTTTTCAAAACAAACAAGATACTTTGAAAGCTTTAATTATTTTATTAGTATTATAATAACTAAATAAGGGGTAAGAATGATGACAAAACTTATATCTCTCATTAAATCCAAAAGTAAAAATGCTGATAAA